ATTGACAGCAACAAATTCACAACAAATATGGTTACTTTTATTTCTACTGGCAGTCCTAATTCTACTCTCCTCACCCTAGTCGATTCATTTTGGAAAAAAATCCTGAATAAAAAAAAAGTTCTCCTCCCGAATATGCATGAGATATTTGCTACTGGATTTAAGCAAACATCAATTAATCACAAATATCAAGTTTTTGGTTAATTCGGTTGGCCAACTTGTGACCTCTTGCAAGTCAAATACATGTTGTAAGTAAGCTACATTTAATTTAATTCTTAAAGTGGTACAGAGTTCCTAAACCAAGTAACAAATGTATCGGTTATTCGCATGTCATTTCAATGTTGAAATTTCAATGTAAATATGTAAAAGTTGCTAAGAGTTTACATACATGTACTAAAGATTTTGAAAGATTTGTTAATTACTTCCTATTTCTTTTTTACTCTCCATCGTGTCCATGAAACGATACAATAAATAGATGATGTGAACTTTCAAAGTGCGTCTTTGTGAAAAAATTAATAACTTTGTTTATCTTAGTCAAACATATCTCTCGTTATTTTGTTTTCATTTCTATTTTTTCGTTTTATTAAAAAGATTTAGATAATTAGAATAAGTTTTAAACCTGACAGGCTTATCTTAACATAAAATTAAAAACAAAATCAGCTTGTTGATCTTTATGTCGGAGGTTTACGCTCACTGATTTCCTTAAGACGATGTATGCGTGGGTGTTTACTTATTTATACATGTAATACTAGTTTTTAACTTATTTATTATTGTCCATTTAAACCTTTGTAAAGTTAGAAGTTTGGAAATTATAGGTTATATTTTCAATTTTACTAGTATTTCGAAATTCTCTTTTCAATGCATGTTTTTATGTCGAATACGATTATATTACATTATGTTAAAAGTAGGGTATTCTTACTTTAAAGATTATGCAATAAAAGAATAAACATACTCCGTTCTTGATTTTGATATTCGTTCCTCATCATTAAAGTATCTTGAATGATTGATTGATTGTTGATTGTTTTAAGTCCAGTGGTAAATAGTTCATGCATATGTAGGTCTAGATTCATAACAATCAATACAAAGTCATGAATACATGCATGTATGTGATTTGAAAAATACGTCGACCGGAATTTAAGGACGGTTGGAGAGTTTGGACAGCCAGTGGGAAATGAGATCGTTTTGGATTAATCCAGACTGAGTAATTTTGCATTTAAAAAAGCAATATATACGGACACCTTTTGTCGCAAGGGTATTTGTATTCAGGACGGGATAAGCTCAGCTATGACATATTTCTATACGCAAAGCAAAGCTGGAGGTGTTTAGCATCTATTTTAAAATATATACAAATAAAACATGTAAAAGAATCGAGTAATACGTGTCAATGTTTACTCATCGACATGTAAGTTACCTACAAATGTACGGCAATGGTTGTTGTGTATTGAGATATTCCGATTTTACCCAACCTACTTGTTGAGACAGTGTAATACGGTCACCCTCTGAACGATTTGAAGGAGCATTCCACATGTGAGAAAAAGAAAGACACCCTGGTAAAATTGCAAGGCTTGAAATACTGAGAAACCGTTAGGAAAGATTTGCTTTTATTTGTAAATTCAGTATTAAACCCTGTTGTTTCAACTTTTCAGGTCTCGCATTTTATTCTGTGTTTTATTATGTCACTGTATTTTTTTTTTACTGTTTGTTTATTTCTACATATTATACACTTTGAATGATTTACTAAAACATAGATATATGGAATTATTGCCTTCAAGACAACTATCATCGGAGAGCGACTGACAAAGATATAAGAAATCCATAGGTCACCGATTTGTATGTCTTATCTATAATGCCAGTGTTCAATTTCTTAATCAAGATAATGGTTAGGATAAAGGATATGGTTCATGTTATATATAATTATTTTTTAAATTCCTCTCTTCAATGCAAGCTTTTAACCAATTATATAACATGTCAGACGTATATGTAGCTGTGAATATTATGCAATAACATAATACCGGTATTCAAAGCGCGTTTTACATTTTGATGTCTGTTAATTTAGATTTTTAAATCGACATAATTCAATAAATGAATATTCATTTTCTTGTCCTGTTGTTGATTAAGTGAGTCACAAACCCAATAAAACAAGTACATCAAAATATATATAGAGCATTCGTAAAGATAGAATTTCTAAAATATTACTTCACGAATCAACTTTCCTCTGTAAGAGGATATAGAGGGGGTTTATAGAATAGAGAATAATGCGTTAATACGTTCGAAAAATGGGCCAAACAAATAAAGCCTAAGAATGAAAACAATAGACCAAACAAAAATTGATTGATGTCTGATTTTTGGTGTTTAACACCACTTCTAGCCATATGGACTACATGTAGTTTTTATTTAGGGAAAAACCGCCGACAAAGTCATACAATATTTTCATGCTCATCATAATTTCAATCTTTATTGGATCTGATTTGATATGTATTATTACGCGAAACGATTAGTTTTCTTTCACTGAGGTTTATATTCAGATAATTGGGTGACGCCCTTTAACAACTTTAATATATACACTATCAAGTGAAATTTAAAACTTGAGTAAAGTGGTTGATATTAATTTCAATGGATCTCCTACTTTAGGATGAATCAAGAAATTTATTTTGCACTTTATTCTGGTGTTATAGTCCTACTTACTGCACTTTCATTCAAAGATGATGAAGTTACGAAGTACTTAAAAAAAAACTTATTTGTTCTGATTTGGTCATTTCACCGTTTATCATCATAAAAGAGAGATGAGGATACCAAAGGGATTTTCAAACTCGATCATAAGTCGAAAACAAACTGACAATGCCATGGCAAAAAAAGAAAAACGACGAAAAGACAAACAACAGTACACAAAACACAACATAGATAACTAAAGACTGAGTAAAACGAAACCCCACCTATAAGGGGGGGGGGGGGGGGGGGTGGTCTCAGGTGCTCCGGAAGGATAAGCAGATCTTTCCCCACATGTGACACCGGTGAAAAGTCTAATTCGGAAGGTCACATTCGAGGAAAAGAGGAGTGGAGTGCGGTTATAACAATTGGATCATATATCCGTCGTCATCTGTAAAACAGATATTCCATAAAGTTAAACCAACTCGTGATGGCGTCCATAAAAAATTCGAAGGGATGATTTCAACTTCACTACTTGGAACTCTTTGTTCAATAGCTTCCTTGTAAGCAACAATCCTCTGTCAGAAATCATGATTAGAAATGCAAGCTCTGGGGCATCGTATCAACTGAGAGATATATACTCCGTATGCAGGTGCTGAAGGAATGTTGCCACATAGAAATGCAAAGTTCACAATTGGGAAGCTGAGATCATCTCTTTTGTCGTAAAGTAGTTTTGTTGTCAACCGACCTTCATCGTCAATTTCTAGACGTGTAGGTCAAGACAGAAGGCAGACTGTATCTGTTATATCCTTTATTTCAAGTTCGATGGGATAGATGCTTTCAACATAGTCGCCAAACTTTTAATTATTTAGCGAGAGGACATCATCTATATCGCAGAACGTGTAGTTAAAGATTAATGCTAGCTTCTTTTCATTCTTCCTAAGAAGCTCCTGTTTGGTTTCGTTGGTTATCTTCTGACTTTTTCTTCATAATTTTTTGTCAACTAAGTCTGTGTCATTAACCGTAGCGTACTCAAACGTAAGGATAGAAAGTAAACTGCAATCACGTGATATTGTGCCAAATGTATAACTTTCAAGTATTGATATTGCATGCTCTAAATTCTTGGGTTTCAATGAACTTGAAGGTCTTTTTTTCTTCTTTTTTTTCTCTGTGAGTAGTAAATACAATGTATTTGAATGAGTGGAGTTCTATGTCAAGAATTATATTTCTGTAAAAGTTATTTCTATGTTTATTTCTTAGGTGCAAATGTTCCTTCCGAGAGGTCATTTTGAAAATAGATCACCTTCAGTTGACCTCAAAAGAGGAGGCATGATAAGACCAATTATTTGGACTCTGAGATTGTAAACATAGTAAACTTATTAAAGCTTTTTTTTTTAAATTCTGTTATAATTGATAAACCAACTGTTCAATAAGATATGGACACTTTAATGCAGAAAGGTTACTTTGTGATCTCACTATGACACATCATAAACATGTCGAAATACAGTTTTTACGTACTTGGCCTAAAATTACCATTTCACAAATAGTTTTTGGTAAAAAATATATATGAGGGACAGCTTTACCCAAAAAGTATTTTTAAATTTACACAAATTATTGATAACATCTTTGTAGCAAAATATCGTTTTGGTTAAAGCTGTTGATCAAGTCTAAACATTAATCATGTTAATGCCAATATCTCAAAATGAGGCTATTATGGCAGCTGCTACTGCTTTGCACTAACTGTAAGAAAAAATGCCAACATTAAGATAAGACAACATTCAAAAATATAAATACTGCTTTACGACAATCTTCTTATGCATATCTTAAGATTTGGTATATTGAAAATACTTTTTGATTTTCGATTGAAAGTGGTAAAACGGGTGGCTTTACCATAACCGAACTTTCTCCTTTCTCCTTTACAAATAATCTCTAGATGGCAATGCAATTTTTATTTTGTATTCAAACGCAGATCAAAATTTCTAAAACTCAATTTTTGTTATATGAGAAATTTGTATTCATCACTTAACCGAAAAGCTAACAAAAATGTTAACCGTTTCATTTATCCTCATCAAATATAAATTCTATGTTTAATCAAAAGTATAAGGAAAAATTTATAAAAAATGGGACATTAAATCAACATATTAAAGAAAAAACTGTTTTTATTTTTTGGTATTATTTAGAAATAGAATAAACGACATTATATCATAAATTACACACATTATGAAATGTGCAAATACAAATTTGGTTAGAACGCAGTACACCCCAAAAAATGTGATTTAGAACAAGGGTGAAAAACTAAGTTGTTTATTATACCAAAAATACTTGTGTAAGCATTTTCATTTTGAAATATCCAAGGTTATTTTATATAACACCTTTTCATTGGTTAACATTGTAAAATAGCTTTTATAAAAAGCCCCAGGGCAAGAATTTAGGCATTATAGTACTCAGTAGAACCAAAACGTTAAGGTAAGCTTTAATTTACTTGCTTGTTTAATATTTACTTCATTATCGTTATTATATTAAAGACAAGGAGATGTGGTTTGGTTATTAATGAGACAACTATTCACCAGCGCCCTAAAGACAAGGAGATGTGGTATGATTATCATGAGACAACTATTCAGACAAGGAAGAGAACAACAACAGAAGGCCGACCGGCCTTCAAAAATGACCAAAACGGTTATCATATAGAATGCTATAAAAGGTTCCGGAATGTCATAATTTATCAAATTAATTTTGACAAACATATCATAGTAATGGTACTAAACTAACGGAAGGGATTGTGCTTGATTTTCATGTGATGGAGACATAATCTTTCAATCAGTTTAATTGAGGTCTGGAGCTGGCATGTCAGTAACTGCTAGTAGTCCTTTGTTAATTTATGTATCATTATCATTTTGCTTAGTTTCTTTTGTTACCTATTCTGACATCGGACTCGGACTTCTTTTAAACAGAGTTTTACTGTGCGTATTGCTGTGTGTTTGTTTATTCTAAATTGGTTAGAGGTATAGGGGGAGGGTTGAGATCTCACAAAACATGTTTAACCCAGCCGCATTTTTGCGTCTGTACCAAGTCAGGAGCCTCTGACCTTTGTTAGTCTTGTATGTTTTTTAATTTTAGTTCATTTATATGTTTTGGTGTTTAGTGTGACGTCCATTTTCACTGAACTAGTACACATTTTTATTAAGGGGCCATCTGAAGCCCGCCTCCGGGTGCGGGATTTTCTCGCTGTGTTGAAGACCCATTGGTGGCCTTCGGCCGTTTTCTGCTCTTTGGTCGGGTTGTTGTTTCTTTGACACATTCCCCATTTCCATTCTCAATTTTATGTTGTATTTTTTTAATGGTATGAATATAGTAAAAAATTCAGCTGAAAAAGCTGTTCTCGTCCTGAATATAATTGAAATATTTTTCACTGGACGTTTAGAACACAATCAATCATCGTTCAAAGAGGACTGTAGATTTATTGATTGGTGTTTGTAATACGCCACCTTAGCGCACAAGCCGATGTTGCGTCGGGTTGACTTCAAACAGTTTTGCCAAAAATTATATATTTTATTTCTAGTCATAAACATTTTTGAAAAGGAACAATTAAAGAAGAATCCGGCTTCTTTTCCTATTTTTTAAAGAAGGAAACCACTAAACACAAATATATTGGCCTCATTTCACAGATACGATACAAGTATTTAATTGACAGCAGAATAATTAAGATGTGACCTGATGGACATAAAAAACCTAATTTCTATTCTAACTGAATTATTTAATTTTCAGAATGAAGTTGACACTCGTTTCTCTTGTCATCACCATTTTGTGGTGTGCCAATACCAACGCTAGTCCAGCCTCTGAATTTGTTGGCACTGTTGCATGGATAGGCGGGAAAAACATGGAAAATGTAAACGAGGAAATAGGCCAGTGCGCAATGGGTGAATACTCTGAGGACGAGAAAGAAAAGGACACACAGGTTGGCGAGTGCGTGACGACAATTGGTGACTATCTGTGTCCAAGGGACTGTTGCAGTGCTGAAGTTCGCAAGGCTTTAATTGGCATTGGCAAGTTCTATGTTTACTTACATATGCATTGCCCCGATATGGAAGTATCTTGTCGCAAAACACTTATCGATTTAGCTTGCATGAAAGAAGAAAACCCCGACGTATGCAAGTGGTATTTGAATGATGCAGATAAGCCAGCCGAGCGATCTTGGAATAAACGAGGGGAATCTGGATCAGTTCCACCAGCTCCAAAGGTTCCAAATCTTCCAAACTTACCCAAAATTGGTGAGGCATTGAGAACCAGCCAACGAAGTGTTTCCAAGTTGGATTTCATTAGAGAAAAAAACTTCTTGAAAAAATTGCTTAACAGTAGAAATTAACTTTTGTTTGAAATTTATCGACAGCTGACCGTGACGACCGATGAACATAAAAAGGACTACCCATTATCATTATGATGAAAAATGCATTTAATCAGAGCATTGGAACGTTGTTTAATAAGTTAATTCAGAATTAAAAATGTTTTAATATTTAGTTTAGTATGCGTACAATTAATGGTATATTGTGAATTATTAATACTCTCGATTGCATGCAAAAAACATGCCCTGGAAATAAAACAACGATAAAAATCCAGATTAAAATAGTATGTATCCCTAACTTGAACCTGGGACAGACATGCATGTAATGGTGTCGGTGGTCTGGTGGTAGCGTTGTCTCTTTGAATATAGGAAGTAGAGGGTTCGATCTGAGTCTAAAATTGGTATTTGCTACGTCTCCGTCCTTCACGCAAAATTTAACAATGAGCCCAAAATCTGTTTGATATGTAGTCGGAATAATATGCCCGGGTCCTTGAGGACTGTTACCCTAGATGCATATTAATACTCCGATCCAGTGTGTTGGTCTTTATAAAGCAGGGTACTAGTATTTGAATCTCAAATTAATATGTTATCGTCCTAAATATGAGTCAAATATTTGCTGCTTGACGTTAAGCATTCGTGAATCAATCAATATTCCCATATAATATATATCATATATTTGAAAAAATATAATTAATTGGCTCCCTACCAACTCAATTTTTGCAACATAAAAACATTAACCAATGTTTTTTGGCCTAATTTCATGAGATCTATAATAAGAATTAACAAAAACCCAAAATGTACTGAATTTTAAGGTTAATTACTGAATTTGGAAATCCTAAATATGTCACTTATAAACATACGAAAAGACTGAAAATATCAATGGATTGAACAAATGATAATTTATCAATAAAGTTTATCAATAAAGTATTAATTTTTATACACATTTTACAAAACACACGTAAGAGTATAACCTAACAAGAAAGTTTACACAAACAACAAGGTCAAGAATAAAATCTGCTTAAGAAATTTCTAATTTTTGTCACAGAAAAATAAACTTGATAAGCCAACAGAGTTATAACCTATAAAAATGTTGTTGTTAAAATCTAATACAGAAATGCCGTAAATACGGAGAATAAAGTCGGAGAGTTTCAGTCTTTATTGAATTTGAAGACATCTTGTCCAGCCTTTGGGTGATTAAGAGTTTGTCATATTGCGAACACTCTCCTCTACATTGAAGATCGTGTGTTGATTTCTAGATTTCTTTTATTATTGCTTGTTTTGTTAGGTAGTTATCTCATTTACTTACTGCTGGGATCAAATCTAACCTCTCTTAAAATTTATCAAGAACTGTAAGGATAACTGTTCAATGCTAGAACAGTCTCTAGAGCAGTTCTTCTGACACCTTTAGAACAGTCTGTAGAGTAGTTCTTCTGACACCTTTAGAACAGTTATGCTCTAGAACAGTCTGTAGAACAGTTTTCTGGCACCTTTAGAACAGTTCTGCCCTAGAACAGTCCGTAGAGCAATTCTTCTGACACCTTTAAAACAGTTCTGCTCTAGAACAGTCTGTAGAGCAATTCTTTAGAAACCTTTAAAATAGTTCTGACCTAGAACAGTCTTTAGAGCAGTTCTGCGGACACCTTTAAAACAGTTCTGCCCTAGAATAGTCTGTAGAGCAGTTCTTCTGACACCTTTAAAACAGTTCTGCCCTAGAACAGTCCGTAGAGCAATTCTTCTGACACCTTTAAAACAGTTCTGCTCTAGAACAGTCTGTAGAGCAATTCTTTAGAAACCTTTAAAATAGTTCTGACCTAGAACAGTCTTTAGAGCAGTTCTGCGGACACCTTTAAAACAGTTCTGCCCTAGAATAGTCTGTAGAGCAGTTCTTCTGACACCTTTAAAACAGTTCTGCCCTAGAACAGTCCGTAGAGCAATTCTTCTGACACCTTTAAAACAGTTCTGCCCTAGAACAGTTTGTAGAGCAGTTCTTCTGGCACCTTTAAAACAGTTCTGCCCTAGAACAGTTTCAAACATGTCTAACCTAGAACAGTTTTGGACAGTTTTTACCTATATCCGATTATAACAGTTCTTCCTTAGAACATTTTTCTTTAAAAGTACATTTGTAATATGAAAATTTGGAACATCTAAGTACTTGTTTCAGCTCCAGTCATCATATCATCGCAGAGGAATCCTCAACATCGTAATCTGGAAGAAATAATAGCCCGAAAAAATTATATAACCATATTTGTTCTGGACGTGTACGCTCTTTGTATTCATTATTAGTATGCAGTATGGATTTTGCTCAAATGTTGAAGGCCGCACGGTGATCTATAGTTTATAACCTACTACGTCATTTAGTTTTTCTCATTGGCAATTATACCACACCTTTGTATTCTTATACTCAATGACTAAATTTTTCGCGTCGGACTCCATGTTTGTGGAAGCCGCAAACAACAACATTTCAAGAGGGGGGATGGACATATATTCTTAATTACAAGTATAATTCTTTCATCAAAGTCAATATGCACAGTCGTTGGACAGGTATAAGTTGCTTAAAAAAAAAAGAAAAGCAATACGTGAACTTAAGACCGCTGACTGGTTAAAAAAAAATGTTCTTTGTTTGAAATAATTGACTGTGAATAAGATGATTCTGATGTAGAAGCACCTTTATGAAATAATATAACTGTATAAACAGAAAATTGTATACAGTTTGGGAGTTTAAACTGGATGTCTAAAAGAAATTGCACAGACATATTGCAATATAAATTTAAGCACTCAATTTGCTTAATACTCTGGATGCGTGTATTTGATCTTTCATACTCTTCGTGTTTAGTTTCCTAGATGCGCTCAATTCTGATACTCATTATTGAAGTTGTCTGTGACAACTGTATATAGTTTTATTTAAATGTAAGTCCTGGGGAAATATTAGACATCAGTACAGTGTTAGTGTTAAACTAAAGCAAGACACACGTTGGAAAATTAAATGCGGATTTTCCCATTAATTGTCTGAATTAAGCACCAGTTAGAGCTTAATACGTGACTTGGAAACATGGTTTCCATCAAGGTATATTGGCCTCTAGTGTTTCTTGATTTTGTTGTTGTGTTCCTGTCAAATTGACTTTTACCAATCATATTATTTTGGGAGCATAATCAGGTATTCATAGCAATTGTAATTAAAGGAGAAGTCTGTTGTGTCATTTACGCTTAAAAACAAAGGAAACCTAATAAATTGCTTCACACAGAGTAAAGCTTCAAATGGAAATTTGACTTTCGATTGCTCTATACCATGAGTAGTTAGTCAAAAATAGATAAGTCTTGAAGGCTTTAAAACCAAATGAATTTTAATCCCAGTGATGTATGCAGTTTTCCTCTTTTTAAGAAACAAAAACTATTGAAGTCAGTTTCCCAGCATAGCAATATATCAAATTTTGTAAATAAAGCAATAAGTTTTCATAACAGAAAAGATTTAGCAGCTATAAGGTTAAACTGTTTAAACAAAATAAAAAAGCAACGAAATTTAATTAACAAACATTCCCGTTAATAAATCTTTTCCGAAAATACAAAATATACTATCAATAAACAAAAACGTCAATAATTTATTGATAGATCTAGACATTTTTTTTAAAATCAGTCAAATTTTCCATTTTATGAATACATTGCAATACAATCCATATTAAAACCTATTGATAGTATAAAATAATTAAGTTGTAATTACAATTTAGTGATTATTGCAAAACATTAATTACCTTTTTGTTAGATGCAAGGATTTAAAATTCTACTAAATTGAAACCATACACTTTTATTTCCATTCACTACAGTTTAGATTTTAGATACTTATTCATTTATGGGCATCCCTGAGAAATGAATTCACTGTTAACACCTGTGGGATATTCAATTTCAGCTGAAAATAGTATACTTTAGGTCCCAGGTTTCAATTAAAAATTAATAATTTTAATGAATATTCCCTTCAAGTTGGTTTTTAGTTCTGTTAGTGTCTTTTGACGAAATTAAATATTTTTGAAAGAAATATGGTTTTGTTCAATTTTCTTTCTGCTTTTCGAGCTATATCGATCAATAGACCTCATGCTATGATGAAAATACTTTATATCACGTCGTATAAACGTTCAGAAACAATCATTTTAATGTGACAGATAATGCACAACGCGTACAGGGATCGTCTCAAAACATAATTTACATAATTGCGTTATCATTATACTTGATATTTAACAAAAATTCACATGCAAACGTCCATGTTTTGTCAAAAGGCAAATACGGTTAGTATATCTCGATGTTTTTTAACTGCCATTTATTTATTTACTTATTCAATTTCTGATCTACTAATGAACTTTGATTGTTGAAATATACAATGTAACGTGGTAGCCTTCCATTGAGGGACCGTTACAAAGCTTTAGATACACCTGTAACTTCCTGTGCAAATGATCGAAAATTTTTGTGACGTTCCAAAAAGTTTCCGAGGATATCTGAATGGCCCATAGAAGCTACCAAAACTCACTAATATATAGGCGCAAAAATAAATTTTGGTCTTCACAAATTGAATGACGCTTAGATAAACAATGATGGCAGCAGATTTACTCGGACTTTCCAGGTAAAAGAATGAACACAAGAGGAATATTATAGTTTCCATTTTTTAATCCATTAAAGGTATACAGCTGATTGAAGAAGTGATAGCAACATTTGAATGTTTCAGTCATAAAATTTTCTTTTACATAACACATTCAATTAAATTATGACAAAAGAAATCCCTTCAATCACTTGACAGAACCTAAAGCCAAGGCAAGTTAAGGAGGATACTTTGCTTGATCTCAACAACACTACTTCTGGTTATTGAGGAAAACCTATATATTCGGGTTATTATCAACGGGCCAATTTCCCCTGAATTCATTTCACACCAGTGCCATTTTCAAAAGGTTTTTTTAATCCTTAATAAAACTTACAATGCCAGAGCTACATGTGTATTCTTTGAGGTTCTAATGATATTATGGCTTATCTAAACAGATAGCGAAATTATAAACACCTGAAGATATATTAAAATTGCATTTAACCGATTTTGGCAAATATTTAGTATGTATCGACAAACTGTATACGAAGAACACTCAGTGTTAACCAAAACCAAAATTATATGTACATTTGAAAGTAAAGCTATTGAAACATTTC